ATAGTTTGCTATTAGCTCTCTACCTCTCTATACCTCTATTTATCTTACCTAAGTGTCATTTGGGTTCATAGTTCATGAGCAGGAGATATTTTCAGCACTGTGAGAAATACTGAATAACTTGCCTCCTTAATGCATTTACCTATCCCAACTTTCTCTCTATTTCTTATTTCCCACTATTTCTTACATCTGAAGTCTGTCCTATCAACCTCTTCATAAGACCCCTTTAGTAATACGAAGGTCAGCAATAAGAGGGGGGAGTTATAGTAGTGGGGAAACAGAGGGAGTTTCAGGAGAGGTTTCTTTAGAAGTGGATGTGGCAATGGAACTAAGAGAAACTGGAATTTGGGACTTTTGAGCCAGATCAGATTTCAATACATCATTGCCAATTTGTCTTATGGAGAATTTGTTGTTAGTCACAAACACAATGACTCCTGTGACCAGAGTAACAATTTTAAACATTGTGGCATGAAAAAAATAAAACATGAGGGTACGATGTGTTTCACCCTTCTTTTCCCCAAGCTGGAACTTTGTCAAGCAGCCTTGGAGGTCGGTTGGGCTTAGCCACTCAGGTGGCAGGCCTCCTTGAGTATAGTTTGCTGAGTCCTGATCTATGGGGAACCTCCTACCTCTTCTCTTCATTTAGAATTAATTGATTAATTCAAGTGGTTATTACAAATATGATAATTTAGTTTCTCATTAATTAAAATGCCTAATCATCCAGTCCAGTAGTTTTGCTCAAGGCCTGAAAGCTAACGCTTAGCCTAGCTATAATCTTAACATAATTCTTTTTTTTTTTTTTTTTTGGTACCGGGCCTCGAACTTGGGACTTGGAGCTTGCAGGGCAGAAGGCAGAACCACTGAGCTAAATCCCTGGCCCCAATCTTAACATAATTCTTTTTAAATACACATATCCCCTAATGACAACCATGAAACTAGTCATATGACCCATCAACTTGAAACTCATCAATATGTAAAAGTGTTAAATAAAACACATTCTCCACCAGGCATGTTGTATAATTCTACAAGTGATTTCTCATACATTGTTTCATTTATTCTTCCATAAGCAAGACCATTCTTATTTACAAATGAGACAATTCAGTGACTTGTTCAAGATCACACAGCTAGTGATAGACAAGTGTCCATTTTTACTTTCTTCAATAATCAATATTATTATTATTATTATTGTTATTATTATTATTATTATTATTTTTTGGTACCGGGGATCTAACTTGGGTCCTTGTGCTTGCACAGCAGGCGACAAAACCACTGAGCTAAATCCCCGGCCCAGTAATTTAAAATTATTAACAAAATACTTTATCTTTTTTCCACACTACTCATAACTCGGTATATGTTTATAGTCATGTTTTCTCTCCATTTTCTTTGGGGGTTGCTGGGGATGGAACCCAAGGTCTCAAGCAGGCTCAGCATGTGCTCTGCTGCAGCGTGACAGCCCCAGCCCACACGCCACATTCAGGCTTCAGTAGCCACATGTGGCCAGCAGCTGCCACGTGGGACAGTGCAGGTGTAGGGCCCCCTCTGCTCCCTCTGGATGGCCACACAGGGCTGGCTGGGTGGACAGGTGTCTGTCCAGATGGGGGTGGGTGCAGGCAGAGTCCCAGGCAAGCACTGGGTGCTTTGTAGTGACAGAGGCCTGATGCTAGTTGGACTGGGCTTCCCACAGGCCTCCCTGCCGAAATGCCCTGGGGTGCCAAGGGGTGCTGGGGCAGCTGGGGAGCAAAGGATCAGCAGTAGTGAGGACAACAAGGTGGCACTTGGGGGTAGACTGGGGCATGGGGCAGGCTGGGCAGCTGCCTTCCACAGGAGAGCCGCCTGAGCAGTGTCCCCAACTTCTGTCCGCAGAGACTTCAGCAACAACGGGACCTCCCAGTGGTGAGTGATGCCGCTGCTTGGGTAGGGCCTGTCCCTGCCCTTGGCATGGTGGGCAGAGAAAGCCACTGTCCCCCAGTGGGCAGGGCCTGTGGCAAGGTGTGGGAGGAGCCAGAGGCCTTCCCATCCTGGAGCAGGGCCATGCTGGCATGGACGCCCTTCTGTAGTTTCGACATAGTCATCCCAAGGTGACCTGTAGGCTCAGTAGCCACATCAGCAGGCTAAGGTCATTCCTCAGGACTCATCCTAAAGCCCTAGCCTCAGTTTCCTCCCCAGGAGCCCATGGGAGGCTCCTGACACAGGAGCTGGTGCCTGCTCTCCCTTCACCTTGAAATGTGGGTGCCCTTATCCCATTTACTGATGAGGAAACTTAAGAACAGAGAGGAGCAACATGGTGCCTGCCTGTAATCCTAGCACTCTTGGAGGCTGAGGCAGGAGTATCAGAAGTTCAAGCCTTGCCTGGGCAACTTAGTAATCAGTGAGACCTTGTCCTAAAATAAAAAGGGCTGAAGATGTAGCTCACTGGGAAGGCTCTGGGTTCAATGCCCAGTTCTGGGAAAAACGAAAAGAGAAGAAAAATCCCGGAGAGGTCAAGAGGCTTGCCAAATGCTGCTCAGAGGCAGGGCCAGTGTGGGTTGCCTAGTTCCCGTGTCCCTGTTCCCAGGCTTACCCGTTAGGAAGACCTGGGATGTGCCAGGGCTGAGTGGTGGGTGTGGGGCACGGGGAGGGTAGCACTGGCCGCTGGGCTACTGGAAGGTTTTCTGGAAGAGGCAGACCTCAGATCACGTTCAGGGGGATGGGTCACGGAGGTGGGAGAAGCAAAAGACTGGAGTTTGCCCAGAGACTACTTCAGGAGCCAGAGCAGCCTCAGGCCTGTCTACCTCACACTTGCAGCCCTGAGCATGCGACCAAGGTGGCTCTGAAGGTGGTGACACCCATCATCATCTCGGTCTTCGTGCTGGCCCTGTACCTGCATGCCCAGCAGGTGGAGTCCACTGCCCGCCTCGACTTCCTCTGGAAACTGCAGGTACGTGTCCAGTGTGGCCTGGCCTGGCCTCAGCCCTGCACCTTGGGGTGTTCTGCGCAGGTTGCACCCCTGCTGTCTGATCCCTGGGTTTCAGGAAGTTGCTGCTCTCTGCTTTCTGGGGCCTAGAGGCAAAACCCTGGAGCTTACAGGGCGCCCACCCAGCCCATGCCCAGGAGGTGTGCTCTGCCCTCAGCAAACCTGTCCGAGCTTTTCCCGAGAGTGCCAGGGGCTGGACCCCCAGAGGCTGCTTTGTGTGGAGGCAGCAGGGTGTCCAGGTGCCGGAAGAGAGGAGTGGCGGGAGGTGAGGGGAGTGGGGGTCAGTGTGGGCTGCTGCCATCAGCGGCTTCTGTGCAGGCCGGGTTTGACAACTCCTCCAGGAAGGAACAAGGGTGCATCCAGAGTCTCAGCGGGCAGCCTGGCGGCAGCAGGGACAGAACAGATAATCAGGCGCCATGGGGTTTGCTGGGTATATAGATGAGGCTGAGATGCAACTGGTGCTTGGCTCTCTAGGCTGTGCCATGCCCTCTGGGATTGTGTCCCCCTGCAGGAAGGGTGTCTGCAGGCCAGGGAGAGGTGCTGTGTGATAGCAACGACCCTGTGGCCCCTTGTCACCTGCTGGGCCACCTCAAGAGGGCCAGGAGACAGGAGAGTGCTGCCTTCCATGTGGGCTGCCTCAGACCTTTGACTCTAGCCCCTTGCAAGCCTTGAGCATCACCTGGCCTTTTTACCTCTCCTGGCCTGGCCCTAGCTACAGACCAGCTTTCTTACACTTCCTCCACCCCCATCTCATTAACATCTGTGGGTTGGGGTAGGAAGCCGCCCGACTGAAGATGGGTGCCTGGCCCTTCTCTGGGGTCTGTTGAGTGGGGTCAAACAGGCTGCCACCAGGGCTGGTCCTCCTCAGCCAGGGAGTGAGGGCCCCATGACCACAAGAGGGTGGGTGGCACCTGTCTGTCTTCCTGGAGAGCAAGTGCCTCCCAGCACTCAGCCTGCGCTGACCCTGCCGGGCTGAAACAGCCGCAGCTCTGGGTCTCTGCAGCAGAAGGGATGTGTTGGTGACAGGAATAAGACCCTCTTGTCTCCATGGCCTGAGGCCCTGCACTAGGTCCAAACCATTCCCAACCCCTCGGCAAACTGGAGGTCACTCAGCCCCTCAGCTGCCTCGCTCTTCACTCAGCCTTCACTGAAGGGCGCTTGTGTTCTTGGCCTGGCCCCGGCACAGCTGATTCCTCCGCTCTTTCTTCCCTGACCTCCCTCCCCAGGTCCCTAGCTCACCTCCCCAGTTTTCATCTTTTTACTTTTGGTAAGTTTTAAAAATTAATTTTATTTTTTAATTTTTTTCCCATTAAGTTTATTGGTACATTTTGGGTATAAAATACAGTTACATTCATCACTGGGATCTTGTACCATTCATGAGCATCTTGGTTCTTATTTTTTTCCCCTTCCCCTGCCCACCCTTCTCTATTTGCAAAGACCTTGCTTTCCATTTTTTCCTTTTCTCATATTTTTTCTTTTCCCTTCTTTCCTTTCCACTACCCCTCCCACTTCCCCTGCTCCTTTAGACCTTTTCTTCCTGTTACACAATATCAATTATACATTTTTAAAATTATAATATCAAGATCTAGGAGACATTACCACAGATTTTACAGAATTTAAAAGGATATAGAAAGCATATTACAAAAATCTTTTTTGAAATAAATTTGACAACTTCTAAGAAGTACCTTGGAAGACAAATTAATGAAACTAACTCTGGAGGAAATATAAAATAAAAATTAAATTTAAACCTACAGAAAAGTTACAAGAACAGCATAAAGCAATCCAGCAGCTCCTTCCCCACCTTTCAGCTTTAGTTCCCCTGCTCCCTATACTCTGTGATACCCATCCCCCAAACACTCCAGCATCCACCTTCCAGGAACAAATACACCTCATCCCCTACAGCAGAACGCATGCACATGCTGGGTTCTGGGGTCCAGCAGCCCTGATTCTGGCTCAGGAGCCTCTCCAGGAGTACTCTGCATTTACTTGCCTTTTCTCCTCAGTCTTTCCTTGTCCCAAAGTTTTTAAATCTTAAGGACCTTGTCATCCCCATGTTCTTCAGATCCACACCCAGACCCAGGGCCCATGTCCTGGAGATGGTGCTGGGTGCTTCTCAGTGTCACACTGGGCACCTCCACCACACTGACCCCTCTCATTCTTGATGGTGCCAGCCTTAACTGCCTGCTCAAGTTCCTCCCTTTCTCCCCTTCTTTTTGATTCTGCCCCCCCCCCCCCGCCTTGGCATCCTTGCTGGCTCCAGCCTATCTCTGCTTCATGGGAGAGCCAGCTCATGGCACTCTGGGGCCATCTTCTTCTGTGCTTGTCAGAGGGCAATTTTCTGTAAGGCAAAGCTCTCTCCTGACCCCACTGATCTGCTTGTTCATTCACGTGTCTCTATCAGCTCAGATTGAATCCAGTGGGTTATAACCTGCCACTCTCACCACTCATTTTAATGCTCAGATTGCCCTGGGTTTGGCTCTTGTGCCTTTCTCTGAGCTGGCTTCTGTGTCATTGGTCATGGCTCCATCATTCTTTGAGCTCCTGTCTTTCTAGTACAAGATGTCTCATACTTATCTGATGCATCCCAGCTCCAGCCCAGGAACCAGGGACTTCTTCAAAGAGCCCTCAGGCTGTGGAGCATGAGCTTCTGCCCTGGGGCTCCCCCTCCCGGCTGGGGCCAGGTCCTGTAGCCTTGGGAAGCCATGGCACTTGCTTTCCTATGGACAGCCACTGCCCACAGGGGGACCTGGGTTCTGAGAAGTGGTCTGGCCCTGCTGGGGGGGGGGGTCTGGTTGCAGCTGAATAGTAGGAAAGGCCGAGCAGCCCAGCAAGATGCCTTCCTCTCCCTCACAGCCACTCCCAGCTAGATGGGGCAGTCGGCACCCGGTGGTGCCTGTGCCTCCTGGCCATACTGGCTCTGGAGCAAGTCTGCCTCAGGGGAACCAGAGGTGGGCAGGCTCCGGGCCGGGTTACCTTGTGGGGTCAGTTGGTTAAAGCAGCCCTACTTTTCCTGATTGTGTTTCCTGATATTAAGAGGAAATCAAAAGGTAAGGAAAGGTGGGTGCCCTTGGGGAGCCCGAGGGCTGTGTGGGTGTGGGTTTGGGTCATGTCTTTCCTGTACAGTTCACTCCTGGGTAGACAGGATCCTTCCACTAACCCTCAAGGCTTCTGTCCATTCTGCTTCCCTCCTCCGGGATCAGACCCTGGAGCTCGTCACTTTTCAAGAGACGGCAAGGAGCATTAGATGCTTAACAATGTCTTCTTTTCTGATGGCTGAAGTAACGCTCTTTAGAGAACACTTGGAAGCAGGGATAGCAGAGAGAGGAGCAGGGACAGCTGGGCCTTTGTTGGACACATGCTTGTGGTGATGTGACTCGTGCTGCCCTTTCCAAGTAGGGCCATCACTCGGCCCTGCTCTGACCAGGTCCTCTGTCCCTAGGCCACAGAGGAGAAGGAAGAGATGGAGGAGCTGCAGGCCTACAACCGGCGGCTGCTACACAACATCCTGCCCAAGGATGTGGCTGCCCACTTCCTGGCCCGTGAGCGGCGCAATGATGAGCTCTACTACCAGTCCTGCGAGTGTGTGGCCGTCATGTTTGCCTCCATTGCCAACTTCTCTGAGTTCTATGTGGAGCTGGAGGCCAACAACGAGGGTGTTGAGTGTCTGCGGCTGCTCAATGAGATCATCGCCGACTTTGATGAGGTGCTCTGGGGGTCCCCTGGGTCCTAATGCCCTCCCCTTCCAGCTGGGTGTGAGCATCAGTGACAGGAGCCCTGATGGCCAGAGCCTAGCTGTGTCCCAGGCACCTTGTACACACTACAGATGAGGAAACTGAGGCCCGTGACCTTGAGTGTCTCATGTAAGGTCACTGCCTGTAAGGACCAGAGTGGGGGGTTTCAGTCCAGGCTGTTTGAACTCAACCTTCAGGACCCCAGTGTCCAGGAGGGCCAAGTGTCTGTGCTGGGCTTTAGGAGAGTCAGAGGAAGGCTGTGTTCCCTGGGACCCTGGGCGTGCAGGACCCAGCTGTCAGACCTTGTGCGCCCCAGCATGTACAGGCAGTAGGCAGGAACCCTGTGAGGGGTGAGAGGCACAGCCCGCACAGCCCCGGGGCAGGGCCTGGACACAAAGAATGGGTTCTAGGAATGCTTCTTGTAGGGCTACCAGACAGGGGGAGTGTCTGGCCAGCAAGCATGGGGGTTTCCCTGGGGGAGGGGAGGGATATGGGTTTTGAGGGGAGACAGCTGATCAGGATGGGCAGGTCAGCCAGTCACTGTGCATCAGGTGGTGTGGAGGCCTGGCTTGGCACACTGAGTCCATGCCTCCACCATGTGGGGTGGGGACAGGGCCATGCTGGCGTGCTTCCCTGGACCTCCTCTGTCCCTCCCTGTGGACCTCACTGCCCCAGACTAGAGGGTGACCAGGTTTGGCCTCCTGTCCAGATCATCAGTGAGGATCGGTTCAGGCAGCTGGAGAAGATCAAGACCATCGGCAGCACCTACATGGCTGCTTCGGGCCTCAACGACTCCACCTACGACAAGGCGGGCAAGACCCACATCAAAGCCCTGGCTGACTTCGCCATGAAGCTGATGGACCAGATGAAGTACATCAATGAGCACTCCTTCAACAACTTCCAGATGAAGATTGGTGAGTGTGGCGGCAGGCAGGGCTCTCCACCATCCCTGATCCCTGTCAGAGTCCAGCAGCAGGAGGCGAGGAGGCCACAGAGGACGGCCTAAGAGTGCACCTCCCCGTCTCAGGGGTGGGAAACCCGACCTCTCAGCCGAAGCTGCCCGGGGGAGTGTCTCCACCATGTGTGGACAGGGCACCGTTTTCAGTTTTTACCAGTATCATGGATTGAACCCAGGGCTTTTATACTAAGCCACACTCCCAGTCCTTTTTCTTTTTTTTTTTTTTTGAGACCAGGTTTCACTAAATTGGCCCAGGGTGGGCTCAAACCTGCAGTCCTCCTGCCTCAGCCTCCCAGAGTATTGGGATTACAGGTGTGCACCACCACACCTGGCTTGTAGTTCAACTTTTTAAAAAGAACAATTTTTTTTTTTTGGATAAAAAGGACAATATTATATACCAAAACGAGTCAGCAAGTTATTGCTGAGTTCAGGTGATGATAAAATCCAGCTGCTATAAAAAAAACTTCCCTCCTCTTCCTGAACTTGGGAGGGAAGTGGCAAAGGTGTGTGAGGAGCCATGCCCCTGTGTCATCCCTCGACTCATCTTCAGCAGTGTCTTGCCCTCCCTGGGTGTTTCTGTGTGTGTGTGCTTGTGTGTGCGTGTGCATGTGCTCGAGCACGCAGTGTGCTGCTGCTGAGGAGGGAGGGGTTCTGAGCAGAGGTCTTGAATTGACTTCAAATAGGGCTCTAGTCTACTTGTTCAGAAAAATCTTTGAATCAGAAACGGGTGTTTTTCTTTTTTCACATTTAATTTTTATTACCCCAACCTTTTATTTGGTCAAGTCTAACCTCTGAAGAAGGGTTAAAAGAATTTTACAGTAAAAGCCCATGTATATTTATATACTCAGCCACCTCACACTGCTCTAGCCACAAATGATTTCAGAATTGTGCATCTGTGTTGCCTGTAAAGCTCAAGCAGCTCTGGAGTTGGTCCTTAGGATATGTCTTACCCAGCATACAGCCTGATAGAGTGGGCTCCTTTTACAGTAGGAACTTGGTCAAGTGTTGTTCTTCTGTCTTGAGGTTTGTGGAGGTAGAAAATGCTTTCTGAAAGAGCAGATCTTTGTTCTATTCAGAATTCTCATGCATTATACACTCCCTGGGTATGTCTCAAGCCATAAATGATTCAGATTTCAAATTTGAAAAAAATAACTGTAACACTCACCCAAAAAAATAATGTAATTTCAATTCTCAGAATTAGCACATTAAGCTGAAATATGGTGTTACTAAAACCAGTACTGATTATTAAGGTCCTCGGGGAGGCATGTGGCTGTGGTCTGAGTGTCAGGAATTGGGCTGTCCCTGAATGAGCCACTTGTGCTGTCCTCTGGGCACAGTGCTTGTGGACCTGACCAGGTTTCCATGCTGCATTGGCTGCTGGAAAGCCTGGGCAGAACCAGCTGGGGGGTCTCCTGTGACCCGTGTGTACCCTGTGGTTTTGTGTTAACTTCACTCCTGGTTTCATGTAACATGTCTGTTGACATTTGTTTTCACTCCATCTTATCCACCCTCAGCTATTTATATTTTTCTCCTGTTGCATATTTTTGTAAACTGCCTCAGCTCCGTTTTTGGGCTGGACTAGGGTCTGAGTGCAGACTCCACCAATAGGTAGCGAGGCAGCCTTGTGCTGGGTGAGGTCTGTTCTTACAGACTCAGGGACAGCTTCTTGGTGGTGTGGCCTCATAATGGCCAGAAGCCATCCAGAGCTCCATGTGGCCTGTGAGGTAGACAGTTTCTCCTGGAATAGCTTGTGGAGTTAAAAGCAGTGTGTGCCGTTGACAGGACTCAGAAAGAGGAGGCGTGGGCAGGGACATGGGTCAGAAGCCAGTTGCTCATTGTGAGAACAGTGGGAAGAGAAATGAAGGTGTGAGGAAGGGGGAAGTAGCACTTTGTAAATGTTAGTCTGAGATGAGGGTGAATCTTCCAAGCCTCTGAAAGCAGGAATATGAAGAAAAGGCAATTGGATCATGTAAGAGGGCACTGTGGAAGGAACCTGCAAGAGTGGTGAGGACCCAGAAGCAGCAGATGAGTGTGTGAGTTCTGGCTGTCTGAATTAGCAGAGAGATGAAAGATAGCAGGGTGAAGCTGGCTCTCAGAGGGAGACTCCGTAGTGTGTGATGAGAGGAACGCTGGCAAGGGCAAGCAAAGTCAACATTGGTCTTCACCTGAGGAGCGTGGCTGACTTCTGTCCCCTGCAGGGCTCAACATCGGCCCTGTGGTAGCTGGGGTGATTGGGGCTCGCAAGCCTCAGTACGACATCTGGGGCAATACAGTGAACGTGGCCAGCCGCATGGACAGCACCGGTGTGCCTGACCGCATCCAGGTGAGTGCAGGAGCATCGGCACCCACATCGCCCGCCCGTATGAGGGAACCTTCTGATGCTGAGGTCTTCAGAGCAGGCCACCCACATGTTGGTGCTGATGTTTGGGAAGCTTGGAGAACACAATTGTGTCCAGCCCTCAGCACCTTGGACAGATCCACAGGCCTGTGCAGAGCCCTCTGCTGGGTGCAGAAGGAATCAGGCAGATACAGTTCAGGTCTGTGGCTGCTGATGGCTAATGGAGACCCACAGGACCTGCCTAGCCAGGCACACAGAAAGGACACACAGACTCCTGCAGGGAGCAGGGCCTTCCCAATGGGCTGGCAGCTCTCAGAGGCTGGTTCCTGGATGATGTCTCCACCAGCCCCAGGGGCCAGGGGGACTGGCAGAGGCCAGGGCTTCTTTTTCTCTTTCGATCCTGTGTAGGCTGGCATTTGTGATTTCCAGGGCTGCAGGGCTGCAGCTGCTTTTCTTTACTTTTCTCTGGATTTCTGTGATTCTGCTCCCTCCAGTCTGACGCCAAGGGCCCTGAGCTTGGCTCTCATCCTGGACTCCCGTCAACCGCTGCTCCCTGTGAGGCTGTGGAGATCAGCTGGCCTGGCCTTAATTTTCTCAAGTCCTAACCGTGCCATTTTAAAGGCCTTTTACCCACATTGGCACTGCTTAAATGTTCTGTCACTTCTCTGTCCTGTAGGGCTCTGAACAAACAGATTGAGCCCTGGCACAGTGCTGGCCAGTCCACCCTGCCTGGGTGGCTTGTGGAGGCCCCAGGCCACATGGCCTTTATTACCTCCACTCACATACCAGAGAGAGAAGGGAAAGCTGGATGGGGCTGGGGCCCTGAGGGGAGGTGGGGGGCATGCATGTTTGCAAGGCTTCTCACCCACTCAGCAGTAGGAGCAAGGGACTCTGCCAGCAGCCAGCACCACCTTCACTAGGGCTTCATTCCATGGAAGCCACAGTTCACAGTACAGGGCCTGCCCTCGGTGGTCTACCCAGCAAGTCCACTGCCTGTGCCTGGCTGCCCACAGCCAGGCCAGGTGGCTGTGGGTGTGGTGACAGGAGCCTCAACAATGTCGTGAGGCATATGGCCATCCTACCACTCACTGTCCTGTTGCCCCCGCTTCCCTGCTCACCAGCACAGCACAGTGTAGTGCAGTGGTGGTGAACCTTTTAGAGCCTTCCATGATACAAACATCCCGCTGTGGCACACGTGCTGTAGGTTCACCACCACTGTGGTGGACGAAGCCCCAGTGAGTCTTCTTTGTCCTCAAGACTAAGGCACAAAGTCTGGAACTCGGTCCAGGTTCTGCCATTAACTGTCACCGCAGGCAGGTGAGTCACCTTTAGGAGTCAGAAATGAGACAAGCAGAGGTTCTTCAACCATCTGTGATGAAAACCAGTTTTTAGAAATCTTTCTGATCCTGAAAAAGACCCTGATTACACACTTAGACATCAGCTGCAGCAATGTCAGATTGTCTTGAAAGTTCTTAGGTACTGCTCTACTTGTAGACCCTTTCTAGGCTGTGCTATATAGGCATCCAGTGGGCCACAGGCCACACTGAGCATCACTGACATAGCACATGTGAAGTGCTTGTCATAGCAGCACAGAGGAGGTGCCACGAGCCACAGCTGCCACTGTTCTGTCATTCTGGCCTTTGCCTAGTCCGAAAAGCCCCTCAGTGGAGGGGCTGCCCACCTCTCTAGCAGGGCGTAGGCAGTTGGCAGTCATGCCCGAACAGTTTATGTCTGAGCTTACCCACACCCTGTGCTCTTGCCTGCCTTGCCTCTGCAGGTCACCACAGACATGTACCAGGTGTTGGCTGCCAACACGTACCAGCTGGAGTGCCGGGGCGTGGTCAAAGTGAAGGGCAAAGGCGAGATGATGACCTACTTCCTCAACGGAGGTCCCCCCCTCAGTTAGCAACTGCCAGTGGTGGCGCCGAAGCCCAGGCTCCACAAGAAGGGAAATGGCTTCTTTTGCTCCACATGGGCAGTCTGGGAGCCTGCACTCGGCCACACCGCTGTGCTGGTGAGATTTCCACCTGACTCAGAAGCAGCCTCTGCCTTTGCTGGTGGGCATGGCCTCTGGCCCAGGCCCTGGTGCCAGCGTCCTGCAAGCACCAAGCTGACCAAAGATGTTTCCCCTGCAGAAGACTCTGCTGGACTCAGCTGAACCTTGTTTTCTGACAGGTGCTGCTGCTGCACAGTGGAGGGGCACTGCTAGAGCCCAGCACACGGCAGCAGGCCCTAGGAGGCCGCAGCCTGGACGGTGGGGGCAGGCTGGACGCTGGCCTGGGGTACCAGGGACCCCGAGGGTCTGCTGCTCCTAGCGAGCCTTTAGGGTTCAGACAGGCCGCGTCCCTGCTCCCTGGTGGTGCTCTGGGGCGGGAGTGCTGGCTGTGGAGGGGCCCCGGCCTTCACCTCCACACACACAGACAGCGCCCTGTGAGGGAGATGGGACTGATTGTGAAGGGGAGGCAGGAGGATGCCAAGCAAGGAGTGGGGGCTCTAGGAAAAAGAAAATATTTATTAAATAAAACATGTTTTCTGCGCCCTTCTTTAGCTAGTTGTATTTGTGTAAGAGACACAAGCAAACCAGGATGCCACGGGGGAGGGAGGGCGGGGGCCCCAACTTGTCTTTTTTGTATTTTTTATTTTGTATTATTGAAAGCCTTGGAGATCTAACAGATATACCAAATTCTATATTTTGTAAATTCTCTATATTAGAAAACAGCTGTGCACAGTGGGGCGTGTGTGCGCATTTGTACTGTACGTCTGTCGGTGTGTGTGCTGGTGTACATGTGCGTGTGTTCATGCTGCAGACCTGTTCTCCTGCAGGCTCTGTTTCCCTCATTTCAGACTTGGCAGAGTTTGGTTTTCCCAGGTACAGCCAGAGCAGGGCTGTGTCCCTTGGGGTTCCACACATTTGGATGAAGGAGGAGGACGACACAGAGATGCATTACCCCATCTCTTTCTAACATACACGCACACACACATCCCACTTCCCCTGAGTAAAATGCAAACAGAATAAAAAGAAAACAGCTTCTTTTCCACCCCAGGCTGCATTGATAGCAAGGGTCACAGCCTCACCCTAAGTAGGCAGCATGGCTTATTTTGTCTGCCTTTCCTTTTAGTGGGGAGGTGGTAGCCAAAGATACTGAGGAAAGCAAACCCATTTTTATCACTTCTGAGGGAGGCATTGGGAAAATGATGCGCTATCGCAGAGGTGCATTTACGCAGGGCCTGTGCCCAGATCCGTTCACTGTTTCTCAGGAAAGGATTTTTCTCCCCTCCCACATGAGTCTGGGGAAGGGGAGGCAGCAGCCCTAGGCCGGCTGCTGATCCGTGACTTCAGTATCCACCTGCATCCCTTCATCTGTGAACCCAGCTCTGAGAAGCAAAACTGTGGACCCCAAACTGCCAAGCCTGAGTCTGTTCCATGCTTCTGCTGCTCCACCTTTTGAGTTCTGCCTTGGCTTCTCGCCTCTGCCGTAGAGGCCAGCTTCCTCCACCTTGTTCTTGAGTCCCTGCCTCCATCTGGCCTGCTGGTGGTGCTGGGTGTTCGTTTTGCTTCCAACCTGAGTAGAGTGCGTGCTGCGTTCATCCCATGCCCCCGTTGGTCAAGGCCTGTGGGCCCTCCCCATCCCAGCAGTGACTGGTGACAGCGTGCAGTGCTGGCTCTGCGTTCCCTCTAAGGGTGTGCACTCTTTTTATTCCTGCTCTTGCAAAAATGGATACAATTATGATTTCCCATGGAAATTGAAAAGTCTATTTAAATAATTTAACTATTAAACACTTTCACTGGTAATGTATTCTCATCTGATTTTTGGGTTGGGCTGGGGTGCAGGGACAAGATGTTTTAAAACAAGCGAGCCAAGCATGTTTATTTTATATGCCAAGGGAAAGAAGGGGAAAACACAGAAGAACAAAGATGGTGGAAAGGACGTGAGGAGGCAGGAAGGGATGAGCCACAGGCCAGGAGTGGCTGATGCACTGCACAACTAATAGCGGTGTGCTTGCCAGGGGACTGCATTGAAACAAGCACCTATGCACACACATTACCTCCCTGATTCCCTGACCAGCTCATTCCCTGAAGAAGCTGAGGCACACAGAGGTTGTACTGTTTGCCTAACTGCAAGGCTGGTACATAGAAAGGGCTGTCAGAGCAGGTCCTGTTTGCTGTCCAGGCTCATTCAGGGGACACTTTCCAGTGGTTACTACATCAAATTCAGGGTTATTTGGTATTTGGGCTCAGAAAATAAATCCAGAGAGGCATGGGCAAATTAAGTTCACAGGTGCACATGAAGAACCAGTGAAAAGACTTCACTGTCGCGGAGCCACAGGGGACAGAGGGGTAGCAGTCACGGGATGGTGGGGCCCCCTGGACTGAAGGAAGTGGACCTCATTAGGGCTTCAGAGGTGTGTGGGTCAGGTGTGCTTTATAGAAGCAGTTTACTCAGAAATTCTCAAGAGTGGGGTACATTTGTTAGAAAAAGACTGAATAGCAAAGAGGCTCAAACCTCAGGGGCCAACTGTAACGCCTTTCTCCTACACATGCGACCCCAGAGGCAGGTGACAAACCCTCATCGGTAAGCCTCACTCATGCCTGTCGCCACTGGGAAAATCTCAGCAAACAATTTATTTCTTTTTTTTTTTGGTACCAGGGATCGAACTCTGGTCTTTGCGCATGTGCAGCAGGCGACGAAACCACTGAGCTAAATCTCCAGCCAGCAGACAATTTGTTTCTTAAAGGGTTCTGCTTTTCCCCAAAAGCCTAGAAACCACAACTCATTAGAAAAGATGCCATGGATATGAACACCACCACTCTGTTGATAGCAGACAGCAGACATCAGATGTGGGAGTGATTAGACCGCAGTGTGAAGCTGGCAACAAATGAGCGGGCAGGCATGGTGAAGCTTGGTGCGCTGGAGAAACCAAAGCTACGTATTCACCAGGGAGCCACACTACTCTAAGCTTTTCACAGTAACAAATATGTCTGTCAACTTCCCAAAGCAAACATTGCCTGAGTGCAGAGTTGACTGATGCCCTAGCTATGGCTCTCATGTGATAAAGCATGGGCATCTGCCGTGGGGCTGCATGGGCTGTGATGTCAGTCAGCAGCCTCTGAGCCAGAGGGTGGTGTCACGCCCAGGACACTGCAGGGCAGGAGGCAGCCCCAGACACTGGGACGGACAAGGCTCAAGCCCTCAACTCAACTACAACGGCAGCCCACAGCTTTAGAACTTGTCCAAATCCAAACAACATACGGAGAACAAATAATACACAGCTCATTTTCAAAACAAAGGTACCCAGCAGGGCTGGGCCACTCTGCACGATGCCCCACCACCTAGGGCGAGTATCAGAAGAGTTGGAAGGGTGAGGGTTATTTATGTGTGGAATTTCTTACCCCTGGCCCTCTCTGGATAAACTGCACAGGTAGAACACCCTGGCCCCCCGGGCCTCGAGGCAGCTCAAGAGGGCTGGTGCGTCCAAGGCTGCTCAGATGCTTGGCCCTTGCTGGGCACTCCTGTCCAGTGCACCCACCTGCTAGGGACTGCTGAGTTTGGCAGGAGCAGGAGGCTTGCCTCTCAAGATCAACAGTAGGTGAAAGGAGATCCGGTTATTAAAGGATGCTCTTCTTACCCTTCCAGGTTTTCTAAAAGCCCTTGGGGTTTTTCTTTTCTTTCTCTTGGGAGGGAAAATACGACATTTGGTGTCCTCTTGTCTGTCTTTCCTTCCCACCTGCAGGGTCTCTGCTTCACAACATGAACACAAGAATAAAGCCATCCAAGGGCACTGGCCTGGCTGGTCACCAAGGTCTCTTCCTCCTCTGGCATTCTCTGATTCTAAATACTTGTGTAACCTTTAGCCTGTCTTTAAGTACCAGACCATGTGTATGGCACAAATGTAAATACAATCTAATTAGGGCCTGAAGACATTAGATCAAAGGCAGAGAAAAACAAGGTAAAAACATTATGCCAAAGGATCTGCAGGATGATTACCTTCTAGGCAAAGCCGGAAACAGCCCTTGTTTTGACCTCCTCCAGACACTGATCCAGCAGCAGCAGCAGCAGCATGCACGGCAGCAGCGTGGCCAGGAGCCTCTGCCATCTGTGCCCCAAGCCACGGACTAGGTGGCTGGAGAGCAGTCAGGTTCACAAAGCAAGCAGAGGGGCCAGAGACTAGTGAGTGGGCAGAAAGATGATGAAGGGGATGAAAGGTTCCCCAGAGGCTTGAGGGTCAAGAAGGCAGCGTCCTGCCCCATTGAGTCTCCAGCCCCACATCTCAGGAGCCCATGTTGCTGGTGAGCAGAGTGCAGCCCCAACCCACATCCATGGTGAGAGCAAGGTCATTTCCAGGGCCCCGTACACACTGCCAGCCTGACAGGTCCGTGGATGTAAAGAATTCTCTCTGGAATTCATTAGGGGAGTCCATCACTACTTTTTTCCACTGACCACTTTTCTAATTTTGACCTGGCTGGAATCCGGTTAGTCAGCATCTCTGGTTAGCCTCATTTAGAAGTGGTTTCCAGCTTTATGAAATTTGCTTCCTGACTATCAGTAAGCCACAGGGGCCCTCCCTTCTGGCTCACACAGGACTTTGGAGGAGTGTGTCTTGCTTCAGATTAAGCTTTTCATAGCCATGTTGCATTTGTGCTTTTTAGGTGTGCCTTTCATCTCTCACCTCCCCAGCACCTCTATGACACTGTGGATTGAAGACTGCTGGCTCCCCACTCCTATCTTGGCCTTTCCATCAATGTACATACTAAGGGGCCCCTACCGAGTGGTGGCATTGGGCACCTGCCATCCAAGAGATCCTGGTGGATACAAATCACCAATGATGCTTAACCCATAAAGTTAGTTTTACTACAAATACTAAAATGTATACTTCCTTGCCCTAGTATCTAAACACCTAGAAGGCTACCCATACCTCTTGCAGCCATCTGTCCTGTCATGGTTATAAATGCAGGAATTTTAGGAAACTATTTGCCTAGAACAGTTACACTGCAGGAGTTAGAACTGAGTTGATCACTTTTATTACTAAAGTAGTGTTATATATGGATTTCCACATTACATACTCTTAGCTTAATGTTACATGGGGTAAGAGCATGACTTCTGAATGATCTGAGTTTAAATCCTGGCATCACCACATAGATTACAACACTGTGATTATGGTCAAGCTGCTTAGCCTGCATCCCTTGTGCCTGTCGCATAGAACATTGCCACTGTTCTCCATGCATGCTTCATCTGTTCTCATGTTGCTTCAACAGTGGGAAGAGCCCAGCTGTTGTTAGCTGCATGCACACACTAAGAATTTTCTAAGGTACACTGTGGCACAGAAAGGTGAACAACTTTTATTTAAAATATTAAGCCTGGACCTCAGGTTTGGACTCCACACCCACCCACCACTCAATGTGATATCATACAGGGGACCAGTTCCTGACCCACGTCGTTTCCTCAAGTGCAAATGAGATGGTGCCCCTCACTCTGTGTAGCCAGAAGGATGATGTAGGCACATCTAGCAGGATAGTGCTCATGAACACTCCTGCTGTTACTCCTAGGCACTGGAGGAACACCAAGTGCGTAGGCAAAGCGTTGCCTGTCTGCCTTTAGGCAAGGCCCCTTTCTACCCAGCCTCGAAGCACAGCACTGGCACAAAGTAGGCAAGTGACCAAGGCAGAGCTGGACCAGGACAACAGGACTACATGGGAAGTGGACTGTGTGTCCTGTTTCTGTCTGAAAGAGCCCAATGTGTGCCTGCTGGGTGATGCTTGCATTACTGTGCTGTGGGAAGGAGAAAAGGGCAAATGTGAATTGTGGGTGAGGTTGGGCTGGAAATACTGTTAGTTGCCAAGGAAACACAGGGAAGGATTCGTGACGCTAGAGTACTGATTTCAGGAACTCTTGCCAACTGTGCTGACGTAACTGATTATATGGCAGCACTGCCCATGCACAGGACAGTGTGTGCCCACGTGTCCACAGCCCTCACAGGCAGGAAGATACAAACCACATCGCTTCTGATCACACAATGTTTCCAAATTTATTGTGATTTCAACTGCTAAATAAACCTAGAAAGCTTGGCCACCAAAAAGATCTTGCAAGAGTGGCAGCCATAGCTGTATCTTCTCTTTGAGACGTGAAGGCTTAACCTGAAGGCTGCAGTCGGCCAGGACCTCATAGCAGGCCAGAACACCAATAAGGCTGATTCGATGCCTCTACACTGGGGAAGATGCAGGCATGAGTTAAACTCTTGGCCTGTTTGTCCCTTACCCACAAACCCCGTCATAACCTCTCAAATTGCAGGGGTTTCGTTTACCAATTTTTAGCAAGGGTGTTATTAAAGCCAATTTAAACAGAAGACTGGGTTTTATTTTACCACAGCATTTCTAGGTAGAAAGATTCCATTTCTGTAGAGGTAATAATGCAGAAAAATACTAAGAAGCCCTGACCATAGATAAAGAATGCAGCTCTAAAGAGTGACCTGTAATCTGTGGTAAAGCTAAGTACTCAATTTGGTCTAAGTGGTGAATGCTTTTGAAATAACTGATTTGTCCTTTTACCACACACTCCACAGTGCCTCTAACTCTTAAAGTAAACCAAAGGACTATAAAACAGAAACAAGAAGAATGGTACACACAAGCATGCACACACACACAACTTTGTTGTGCCCCACCTAACAGCTCAAAGAGCATCTTTGGGTTCGTAACTCTTTTGGAATAAAGGCCAGTCAACCACAGCTTACCTCAGGAAAACAGAGTTGCGTTCTCTGAGGCATGGCAGTGAAGTCTCGATGGCAAATTTCTGGTCTCTGTGGACCCCTGACCAAGCAGCAGCCTAACAGGACTCCAGACATGGCCCAACTGGAAATAGAGTCATGCACTTTTCCAGGCTGGACTCTGCTGGGAGAAGATCCACCTTTGTAGCAAAATCGATGTGTTAATGTAGGAAAAGCACTTTCACTTTATATAAATTATAAAATTACAAAATCTGGTAGTTTCTCCTTGAGTCGAGTCTCTGGCTCAAATGGATTTTCAAGTTTTAACAGATACTTGGTTTTAGCTTAGGGCAAGAATTTTTATTGGAACAAAATCTTCTATTAAACACATACACACACACCCTGAAGTGGAAGCCTTTGAAAAATGGTACAAGTTGAAGATTCAAGACACAATCATAATATGCAAATGTGTCAAATAATCAAAAATTCTGTTCATTTTAGCACTTTGTAGGACCCCCAAGTGAGAATCTTTTTATCAGGATTCATCAAGACAGAGCCTCCCACCCCGCCACTGACAGAGCAATGCATACCTAATTTCCCTTCTTTTAGCCTGTACTTCTAGGAAGTTCCAGAGTCACATTAATGACAATAGTAGCAATGCTTTAACCCTTCTTTTCATTTTCGTTAATCTTATTTCTCCTCCCTTTCTGTTCATATTTTAGTAACAGTGCTTTTATGTCATTTCTTGGTTTGCTGTGTTCCAAATACTTTGGGAAAAGTTTAGATACATTTCAAATACAGACCAAAAAAGCAAATGTAAAAGAGGATATCTTTGCTCGCATGGCACAATCAAAAAGCAGTATTTAAATGGTTGCCTAAATTAAGATAAAATATATTTATTAAGATAAAACACATCTGTAACAGACCTAGACTCACTGATTTCAGAAACCCTCAATTACTTTATTTGACCAAGAATCAACATATTCTCTAAATATAATCTTGGTCACCTTCATTTGTCTGACACTAGTGAAAAAAGCTGTGCACTAGATTAGAGTTGTGTGTGCTTAGCTATGTGGCATAAGTAAATAAGATCTGATCATCTTGGTCTCCTCCCAATGAATATGAGGGCAGCTCCTACTTATTTGCCTTGTACTACAAAATTCATTATAATGAGATAAACCTGGTTTGCTCTTAAAGTGCAATACAAATCTAAGATATTAGTATCACTGTGAGAGTTAAGCTGGATTGTCAACTCAATTGGCTTCAGAGCTGCCCAGGGGATTAGTAAAACACACTTCTAGGTGAGTCTAGGTGGTTATGGAGACTTGACCTTGGGTACTGTATCTGATCCCTGAGGCCTTCCTTTCTAGCACTGTTCCCTGATCTGCTTCCTGGCTGCCATGCAGTGAGCAGCTTTGCTCTACCACACCCTTTTGCTATGATGTTTCTGCTTTGGAGCAACTAACCATGGACTGGACCCTCATAAATCATGAGCCAAATTAAACTTCTCCTCCTTTAAGTTATGGGTATCAGGTATTGTGTCCCAGCAATGGGAGAGCTAACACAATGATCACTTAGATACCAAAGTAATTCTTTCTCAAGAGCCTATGAGCTTCTTTAAACCCAAAATCACTTTCCAAACTCATAATTTCTTAGCAATAATATGAATCAGACAGGAGCCTCTATAACCACTCAGGGATGTAGGCACCAAATAATGAAAGAAAATATTTGTATACATAAAACATTATTTATACCTGTTTCATTTTTTACATTGATATAAACATCCTTTTATCCAAAATAGCTGGTGAAATAAAACAAAACAAAAATGAAAACCAAGCCTTTAAAAAAAATAGCTGAAGAGTTTTCAACTGTCCTTTTTGAAAGGATCCAAATACCAAACACTCTTAAGTCAATAATTCCTTGATAAGGAGATAGCTCCTGAACCAAACTGGTAACACTGGTAACTTCCTGTTTAATTAATAATTTACCAGAAAATCTTGTCTTAGCCATTAGTTTAGAACTCCTTTACTTTTCTGGCTCAGCAGATACAAAATTTCAAACATCATTAACTGTTGTTTTGATGATTTTAAGATTATATGATGCCTTGGGGTACTTAATTTAGAATATTCATACTTTCTGTGCAGCCTTGTTTAAATAGAGGCAGCAAATTGGAGTTAACTAGAGTTTATTTTATATAAAATAAATCCTTGACATAGCTTTGTGCATTCCTTATACTTCATTCTCTTAAAAGAAGGGGGTAGCCAAGGATCTAATTAAGATCTCAGACATAGTTCTAGCCATATTCACATATTCTGATTCAGGCTAACAAGGCAGCTCAAGGACTTTATCCTCCAGCTATATGGTCTACCTAATAAATATGCCCACCGACATGAATTATATATAATGGTGCCTGCTGTTTTTCAGCAGCCTATGAATTCCATTTTTGGAATCTTTTCTTTCAAAACAATGGAAAATCACTCAAGAAGATAACTTCCAAAAGTAGGAGAGTTGTAGATTTTGCTAATGAATCAAATTCTGCTTCCTATATCATTATTTGTAATGCTTGAATACCTAATGTTTTCAGAAAGTAAGTTTTCTCAAATATGTGCTTACTTCCCTAAAGCCATAAGATATCCAGAGTTGATAAGAAAGTCACCTTCTGATTCCTAGTACATACAGTCCAGTATTTTCATAGTCAGGTCCATAGCATGGCTGGCAGACAAGATAGTTTTAGGTGGCGCATGACACAGAAGTAATGCTGAGTCACAGTGAGAATGTCATGGCCTTTAGAATGTTCTTTTATCCTCTGATAACTCCACAGAGTCTCATTTTGGGGCAGGTAAGCTCTTTCACAAAGTACAGGCTTTTTAGTCCAGAGCTGTGGCAGGCATTAGTATCTAGCTAAAACTTAGAAACATTTTTTTGTATTAATTTTATTTATTTTGTGGTCACTTTTTATTTGAGTTTAATTTTTTTTTTGGTACCGGGGATCGAACTCGGGTTCTTGAGCTTGCACAGCAGGCAGAGAAACCACTGAGCTAAATCCCCTGCCTGGTCACTTTTTATTTATGGCAAACTGCCACTGGTTTTCTTCTTAGAGAAGAATTTGTTTCTTTTTAAAATACTTTAAAATTTAAAAGATAAATATAAAGTAAGTAGAGTATATAGTACCCAAGTGATCAAAGTTTGGGAAACAATGATTATAGTCTAGCGAATCATATTTTGAAGAAGTGATTTCAAAAGAAACAAAAAACACAGTTTAGAAAGAAAATATACATCGCTGTATTTTCAATACTTGTGATGTTCCAAAGACAAACACACCACAGCTTTCTCCTACATCAAGTAATTTCCAGAGTTAGGACTCAGGCAAAAACAGAACAGTAAAAGAAGCAATTCCATACCACCCTGAACTCATAACATCTTGGTACTATAAAGGTACAAATAATCTGATACTTAACACAGTCATTTGCTTTAAAACATGTACTTTCCAATTTCTACAGCATCTTTTTATTTGGTCTATTGTAATGCCTCACAAAGGCAAACTCAGGGTGCAGTGCCTGCTTGGTCCTCAGAGCAATTCCACATCTGTTTTGACTTAGCTCCGGTGAGGACTCAGGACAGCCAGCCAGGCCTTCTAGTGCAATGTGACTTCTTCCACTCTTATGGCCGTGAAGAGACAAGGCTTCTCCTCCTCTAGATAAGCTCACTGCCAAAATTCTTCAGAGAGGAGTTTCCCAGCAGGTCTTGCATGCTCTCAGGCATGCCATGCTGATTTAAAAACAAGGAAAATTGGAGAAAAAGAACGCAGAGCTTCTCATTTGTGCTGACTGGTTTCTACATCACAGTGGCAGTTAAGATATGTCTCCTCCTTTTCTGCCTGAAGCCAAGGCAATACATCTGAAGGAGGGTGTCAGACATCATAATCAGGAGCCTTGCCCTGGGCTTGCCTCAGCCAGATCTGCAGTGTGACAAATGCTCCCACAGTCACATGAAAGAAAAGCTGCCAGAGGTTGCGCAGTTCATAGAGATACATGTTGCATAGACAGATTAAGCCAAAAGTCAAAAAAGATTTGACATTCCGCCACCCGGTGTAGTAGACAAGTAAATAACACTGTTCAAAATATAAAAATGAAAGATGATTAGGGCTATAAGAAATATATCCCTAATATAAAATTGTAACATATCTGAGAATAAAATATGAGACCAGAATAAGGGTATTTTTCACTGAAGGATAAGATAATGTAACATCTAAGATATTTAGCTATGAAAGTTCCACAGCTTGAAAGGGAAATAGATTTTTTTCCTTTTATATTTTTCATTTTTCAAAAAAGAAGCATTTCATATCACATTTTAAATGGACGCACAATTGGTTGATTCCCTTGCAAACAGGCTGGGGAAATTCTCCATGCTAATAGGTAACTAAGATGTGTTGCCAGGGACAAAGGGGGTTGTTCTATTCTTACTCTGAAAAGTACCAAAAGCTTGCATAAGTTATTCTATAAACTGGACTCTAATATAACATGAATCTGAGTATTAATGAAGTCAACAATATTTAACTGGGACCCCATGAGTGCAAGAAATTATGCTAGCTACAGAACCAGGGTGAATATTCGAGGGGGATTCCTCATTTGCATATTTATTGAGGGCCTGCTGCAATCAAGCACTGTTCTTCACTTATGAGTGAAATAAATGAAGTTCTTGCTCACGGAGAGCTTACATCTTAGTGGAGGAGGATTATAAACATTTTAAATATATAAGAGTAATGTTTTGAAAAAGATAAAACAGCAACAGGTGTCAGAAGATGACGATGAGTGCTAATTTAGATGAAACAGTACAGAAAGTACCCCCAACCCTGGCACTCTTCCTTTCCTGATTTTTCTCCATGATATACTATAAACATACTTGAAAAACATGCTTATTTTGTCATGTGCTATGGTTTAAATCTAAAATGCTCCCGAAAGTCTTGTGTTCAGAGGTAGCCTCTCTGGAGAGGGCAGATCACTGCGGGCATGACCTGGAAGTCTATATTTTGTCCCTGCCTCCACCCTTCTCTTTCTCTTCCTGCCTCTGTCCCTGTCTCTGTCTCTGTCTCTGTCTCTTTGTCTGTCTGTCTCTCCGCCCCCCTTCCTCCCTCCCTCCTGAGGGTTTTCAGAGGTGGCTGGATCTAGAGTGTGTGACACTGGAATTGATTATGGTGCAATGCTAGGATCAAGGGCACTAGGATTAAAGGTGTGAGTGCTACCCACCCAAAGTAGCCTGGATAAGATCAGGGATAGAAACAGCTGTGGTCATCTCTTCCTTGCTTATGTTGCTACCTTCTGCCTTCCATGAACTGTTTCTCCTCTATAATGCCTGTCTGCCACACCACCCTGCCTTGGAGCCAGCCAATTATGGACTGAAACCTCTACAAACTATGAGCTAAATAAACCTTTCCTCCTTTAACTTTAGCTGTTGTGTATTTTGTCTAAGCAACGAGAAAAGTAACTAAGGCAGAATTTTGTACCAGAAATGGGGTCATTGCTGTGACTGTATCAGACCATGTGGTTTAGGAGCCTTTGGAACTAGCTTGTGGGAAGGGAAAGAGTTAGGAATGGTTTGGGATTTGGTTTAAAGGCACTCGACCCCTAAAGCCAAGAGGGAAGGAAGCTGGCTACTGCTCCAGCTAGTAGCAGGCCTTGGCATCATTCCTGTGATGCTGGTTTTAGGTGCATTCAGAATGTAAGAGTTGTGGGATCAGAAAGGCTTTCACTCAGATTTCAGAAGGACTGGGAGGCCAGACAGTGTGCTCCTGAGAGGCCAGTGTGTGAAGCTGTGATTGTAAAGCCAAAGGTGCAGTGGAGACCCTAGAGTTGGAAAAGCCCCATGGATCCTCTGAGGAAAACTGCAAGGAGGGAGTATAGCTGGCCCAAGAGAGAAGCTATGGGAGCTACAACCACTGGAAGTGCTATAGGGGGAGAGCCACTCAAACGCTTTGGAGCTCACATCTTGCTACAGATTGTCTCAGAGGCTGGTCATGGAACTACTAATGCTTGCCCTGCTGGATTTTGGACTTGCTTTGTTCCCATTCCTTTCTAACCCCCTCTTTGTACCTTTTGGAATGGAAGGGTCTATCTTGTGCCATTCAGTGTTGGAAGTGTTTAATTTTCTTTTCATTTGTACAGGGGCTTGCAGCTAAGTTTGCCCTAAATCTCAGAGGAGACTTGGGACTTGGACTTTCAGCAACGCTGAGACTGTTAGGACTTTGGCAACTCTTGGAGGTAAACTAAATGCCTTTCACATAACGGAATGTACATGAGTCTTTGGGGGCCCAGAGGCAGAATGTTATGGCTTGTGTTTAGATATCCCCCCAAAGCCTCATGTGACCACAGGAGGGGCTTTTTCAGAGGTGGCTGGATCTAGAGTATGTGACACTGGAATTGATTCATGGTGCAATGCTAGGATCAAGAGCACTAGGATCAAGGTTGTGCATGCTACCAGCCCTAAGTAGCTGGGATAAGATCAGGGATAGAAACAGCTGTGGTCATCTCTTCCTTGCTTGTGTTGCTACCTTCTGCCTTCCATGAACTGTTTCTCCTCTATGATGCTTGTCTGCCACACCACCCTGCCTTGAAGCCTGCTGATTATGGACTGAAACCTCTAAAACTATGAGCTAAATAAACCTTTCCTCCTTTAACTTTCGCTGTTGGGTATTTTGTCTTAGCAATGAGAAAAGTAACATAATCCTGGATTAGGAAGAAAGTGCAATAAAGAATAATTTGCAGATAATTGAAATGATCTGAATAGAGATGAGGATCTCTACATGATATTGTATCAATGTTAATATTCTTGGGTATGGTGTGGTGTCATGGCTATGTGGAAGAATATCTGTGTTCTTAGAAGATGTGTGCTTAAGTATTTAAAGGGGAAAATGAATCTGTAACTTACTGTAAAAAAATAAGCACAGAGACTTCTGTTTCTGGAAAGACAGAGTAGACACTTTGCCCTGCTCTTCCCATTAAGTACAACAATAAACCCTGGTCATTACAAATAAAACAAAAATAAGACATTGAATGGTAGAGAGAAGACAGACAAGCTAAGGACCCTGACAGGGAATGACACAGTGGCAACTTCCCTGAGCTTCCTTTTTTGCCTTGTGTTTTCCATACTTGAATCTGAAGAAGTGGGAAACTAGTAATGTCACCAAATATATACCAATAAAAACAGAAACAAATACCTCCTCACAAAAAACTCCAAAACAAAAAACTCAAGATCTTGCCCTTTCTAGCTAAGATTAGGAAAAATAAACCTTAACAAGATAGAAACATGTAGACAGTAACTATTATTTTCTAGCATAACACAGAAAAACCTGCTGCTCACCATACCCATATCATCAAAGGTTGAGTGGGGCAGGCTAGAATGCTATAAGGAGTTCCAGTTCCCTGTAAGCTTCCAGAAGGCAAGGAACCTGTACTTCATTCCCATAGGATGATACACCTCCACTTGTCAGTAATGAGGCAATGGATCTCTCACTAGTAACAGCCAGTGGATTTCTCGTCAGGAACCACAGGAACCAGAAAAAAGTGAGACAATTTTCCTCAAATGGTAAAAGAAAAGAGTTGTCAACCCAGAACCCTACATCCAACAAAAATATCCTTTAGGAACAAATGGGCAACAGTGACATCTTTGGAGGAGAGAAGACTAAGAGATTTTGTCACCAGTGGATGTACCCTCAAGGAATAGCTAAAGGGTATCCTCTAAACAAAAGGAAAACAATAATATTAGGAAACAAAAAAGAACACACTAAGCAAAAATATAGCTAAGTACAATAGGTTTTCATTTTTCTCTTCTAAATTATGTTTCATAGTTGAAGCAAAAATTACTCTAACAGTGTCTGCTGTATTTTACAATATATGTAGAAGAAATATTTAAGACAGCTGTAAATAAGGTTGGGCAAAAGGACGTCTAGGGAGTCACAAGAACTGGTAAAATGACGACACCAGTAGACTGACAAGTAGCTGTCATGTGATACCTAGATCAACCATTTAAAGAGCTGTAAAAAGAGATATTCAAAAATACTGTATATAAACTGAAATGGAATTCTTTAAAAAATGTTTGACCCATACAAAGACAGAAAAAAATAGAAAAATAAAAAACAAAACAAAATCCTAACAGATCCATAATTATATTAAATATAAATGGCCTAAATATAGCAATTCAAAGACAGAGTGGGCCGGGGATTTAGCTCAGTGGTTTCACCACCTGCTGCACAAGCGCAAGGACCCGAGTTCGATCTCTGGTACCAAAAAAAAAAGACAGAGATTGGCAAAGTGGATTTAAAGACTTGAATCAACTCTGTGCTGTGTACTAGAAAGTCACTTCAAATGACAGAGGAAAGTTGAAAGAGTATGGAAAAGGATATATAACAAACATTAATCAAAAGAAAGCAAGAGTGGCTATATTAGTATAAGGTAAATGCCAAAATATTTCAAACCAAAAAAAACAAACAAAAAACCAGAGGCAGAGAGAGACATTATGTAATAATACATAGGTCAATTTGTCATGGCAAGGCAGCAATCCTGAATGTATATGAACCAAATGACACAGTTGCACAATACATGAAGTAAAAATAGAATGGAAAAGAAAAACCATCAATTCAATACTCTTCTCTCAACAAGCGCAGAAATTTGAAATTGAAAGCAGAAAAAAATAGTAATATCAATAAAATTAATAGGTGGTTAATCATAAAGATCAGTGAAATTGAAACTGACAAGCAAGACTGACCTAGAAAAAGAGACAAGTTACCAATATCACTACAGGGGATATCACCACAGATGCTGCAGACATCAAAAAGGTAATAAGGAAATAGTACAACAGACTTTACACACATAAATTTGACAACCTAGATGAAATGGACAACTTCCTTAAAACCCACAAACTACCATAATTCACTCAGTATGAAATAGGTAATCTGAATACCACTATTAACAAAATTGAATTTAAGATGACTTATATAACTATAGTAAACAAGACTCTGTGGTTGTAGTGGATAAACACATAGATCAATGGAATACAATTCAGAATCCAGAAACTACCACACAAATATCCCCAGCTAAATTTTCACAAAGGTACAAA